GCTCCGGGTGTCTGTTTTTATTGCTATGATAAAACACCACGACCAAAAGCAACTTTGTGGGTGAAGGGTTCATTTCACCTTACAGCTTGCAGTCAATCATCCAGAAGTCAGGGCGGGGCTTGGAGGCCGAGACTGAAGCAGAGGCAGTGAAGGAGCACTGTTTACTAGCTTGCTCCTCATGGCTTCCTCAGACTGTTTTCTTATAGCAAGATCCCCAGCCCAGAGGTGGCGCTGTGTGGAGTGAGCTGGGCCCTCCTCACCAATTAAGAAAATGCCCAAATGCCACAGGCTCATCTGGTAGGGTCATTTTCTCAACTAAAGTTCCCTCTTCCAAAACGGCTCTACCATGTGCCAAGCTGATGCAAGACCAGCCAGCACAAAGGTTACACACAGGGGCTGACTGTGTTCTTTTGTGCTAATTCAGAGGGTCCAAGGTCATGAAAGTGACCACTAAGGATGCTGGAGAAGACATCCCAGACCAGGGACAGACACTGGCCACTCACGCCAACATCTTTCTGTCTCTTTCCTGGAAGGTCATCTCGCCGCCAGTGGAGACTAGTTTCCTCTGGAGTGGGTAGGGAAGACAAGCCAGTGAGCCCAAGGACTGACTGCGGAGTGAATGAGGAGACCTGGGGGTTGGCCCGCCTCTGTTTTCCTCACCTGCTGTGAAGACGGCAGACATAAAGACCGAGTGTGCCTACCAAACACTGCCCACAATCTTTCAAACCAACAAGTGTGTTCTGCTGGGAGAAATGGGTAAGCAGAAACCCCCTCGGTACTACAAAAACATCAGTCTAGGCTTCAAGACGCCCAAGGAGGTCATCGGGGGCACCTACATAGACAAGAAATGTCCTTCACTGGTAACACCTCCATCAGAGGTCAGATCCTGACTGGGGTTGTAACCAAGATGAAGACACGGAAGATCACTGTCAACCACAGGGGCCATCTCTGTCACGTCTGAAAGTACAATCACTTTGAGAAGCGCCACAAGAACATGTCTGCACACCTGTACCCATTTCAGGGATGTACAGATCGAGACCTTGTCACCATGGGAACGTGCTGGCCCTGCACTTCAATGTGCTCAAGGTCACCAAGGCTGCTGGCACTGGGGACAGTTTCAGAAGTTCTGAGGACTCTGGCCAACTTCCTAGAACAAATAAAGTTTCTAAACTTACAAAAGCAAAAAGAATACAGCAAAGAAAAGCCACTCTGAAGTGAGGTGAGGTACGCACCCGGCACCTTCACCACAACAGGTCCTTCTCAGAACTCATCGGGGACATTTTCAGTATTAATTTCTGGTGAATCTTGTGGCTAAAATACCCTAACAACTTTAAGGAACTGATTAAAGAAAAACAAGATTAAAAACCTCACTGTAAACCCTGGATCTGAGCCCGTGGGGCAGGCATCCCTAAGAGACACTCTGAGTGAGGATGTGAAAAGCTCGTGTTTCTTTTTCTTTTACTGGGCCTCACACCTGATGTGCTTCAGAGCTGGGATGAGGCCGAAGACCAGACACATGGTTCTGAGAGAGCAGGATGAACTCCATCTTAGCACGCTAACAATGAGCTTTTTAGAAGAGGATTTTGAGTCGTGTGACTGACACAACACCTAAAACAAAGAAGAAAAAGAATGCTTCCAAGTTACCATTTGCCAAAACCCCACTGTATGCCAGGCTCCCAAACCCTGCAGTAATCCTGTAAGAAGTGAGCAGCCTTCGAGGCCTCATGTTGGTGGATCAACTGCCACCAACAGAGAAAAGCCGTCAGTGACCCTGCATGTGGAGATCTGGCAGGCTGGCACTCTCCCCCAAATACAGCAGCAGGGTACCATACTGAGAGGCTGCAGGGAGGGGCGACAGGCAGGCAGGCAGGGCACACCACCCACTCTCACCTGCTGCCATCTGCAACTCTATGGCACTCCCCACCCAGTCCAGCCCCCACTCGCCCCATTCCATCAGACCCTGAGTACGGTATACTACAATAGAAAGTTTGGACAGTGGCTGTGGGAGAAGGGGACTTCTGGTTAATATCCTAGCTGGTTTAATTTCCCCCAAATTAAACACTTAAACAATAGTGAATTCACTTTAAATGATAGGTCTTCATCTTTGACTTTTCCACCTAAGTGGACAGTGTGGACGCAGTGTGCCGCCTTCCCCTTACAGCACTGCTCTAGTTCTCATTTCTACTGTGATAAATTCTCATTTCTACTGTGATAAAATACCCTGACAAAAGAAACCTTAAGGAAAACCAGGTTTGTGTGTCTCACAATTTCAGGTCACAGTCTCTTGCAGGACAGTCAGGGCAAGACGGAAGCAGCTGGTCACATCCAGTCAAGGGCAGACAAACCTCGAAGCCATGGGTACTCTCTCCTGCTCAGCATCTCTCTCTGACACAGCCCAGGACTGCTGTGGGGCATACATCAGCTGAAGATGTGTTACGTTTGTTTACGCTGTGGAATATCTGTTTAATGATGCAAAGATGTGTTGCATTCTTTTATGTTGCATTTGCTTAAAACTCTGTGAAGCTGTGTTACTTTGCCTGCTAAAGCACCTGATTGGTCTAATAAAGAGCTGAACAAACAATAGCCAGGCAGGAGAGAGGCTAGGCGGGGCTGGCAGGCAGAGAGAATAAACAGGAGGAGAAGCCTGGGAGGAGAGACCAAGGAGTGAGGAAAGAACAGAGAATCTCAGGGGTCAGCCATCCAGCTACACAGAGCAAGCCATGGAGTAAGAAGAAAGGCATATAAGACAGAAAAAGATAAAAGAACAGAGGCAAAAGGTAGATGGGATAATTTAAGAAAAGCTGGTTAGAAATAAGCCAAGCTCAGGCTGGACATTCATAAATAAAAATAAGTCTTTGTGTGTATTTATTTGGGAGCTGGAGAGCAGACCTACGTAAAGAGTAAAAAAGTAAAAAAATAAAAACCACACAGCAACCCTGTCTAAGGAATGGTATTGTCAACAGTGGGATGGGTCTTTCCATGCCAATTAATCTAATTAAGAAGATCTTCCTGAGTCCACGCCTACAGGCCGACCTGATCTAGAGACTCTCCAGGTGATTGTAGATTGTGTCAAGTTAACAATTAAAACTAACCATCACAATTACCATAATTTTTTACCTTGGAAGAAAAAAATGTTCTACAAAGCAGTTCTATGACTTGATTACAGCTTACCTGGCATGTGAGAAGCATGGGTTCAATCCCCAGGAAAAAAAAAAAGAGAAGAGAGATTGGTTCACTCTAAGCAAAAATTCCACTTTTTTCTGACCCTATCTCCAAAATTTCTTAACTTCAGAAAGATATTTGCTAAAAATACAGTTTAATTAGATTAGCAGCAAAGAATGGAGGAAGTGTTTACAGCCACCCATAACCACCCATTTACAAATAACCAAATTCTGCAAGGTTCTTCCACACCTCAGCAGCAACCTACATGAAATCCAACAGGACCACGTAACACTGCACACGCCAGGCTTTCCCCAGGCTGAGCTGCGCGCCCCTCCCTGCTGGCCTGTGGTTGCCCTCAGTGAAAACTTTCAGTAAAAACTACCTTCATCAAAACACGCATGAGTAAGACAGAATAAACCCAATGAGAAAGGGAACAAACAACCTTAAGTGAAAGCAAGTACTTTCACAAACTCAATTTCCATGTAATCTTTGCAACCACAAAGTGCATTATCATGGGTTTTGTTGTTGTTTCTTTGTCGCCCCCTCCCCCCTTCACAAAAGAGGAAGCAGAGATGTTACAGAAAATCATTAGCGGCCCCACACCAAAATGAATGACAACATTCAAGCCCAGTGCTACCTACGCCATTTTCAGTTCAAAAAGCTATATAAAGGCAGCCGTCCTTTCTCACAGTAACAAGAGAATACCAATAGAATTAACAATAGAATAACAAGAGAGTAATAATAGCATAACCACCCAATTTTCATTTCCTGTTATTCATTTTGGTGAACCAATGGGTCTCAAAATTTTCAACCTTAAACCAATAATCATGGAATTTCCACAAGAACCAACCCTGTCCTCTGCTTTCAGACAGCAGGTATGTCCAGCAAGTGGTCAGAGAGGGGGCACACTTCGTCTCCGCTGCCTTCATAGGCAAACGCTTGCTCCTACATAGGAAGTTCTGGCTTCCACAAACATGATGTCAAGAGATGTTTTTGCACCAGTTCCTAAGTGTTCTAGATCTCCAGTTCTAAGGACACTACTTTTATGATCTCAGTGAGATGGCCACCTGTGTAGGGGCCTGAACACAGGACTCACCCTGAGCTTTCTTAGTGACAGGATGACCCTATGATACCCACAACAGACGGTTTCCATGCATGGTCAAAACACAGTGCTTCTCCACCCTCCTGATGCTGCAACCCTTTAAATACAGTTCCTCGTGAGTGGTGACTCTAACTATAAAATTATTTTTGCTGCTACTTCATAGTTGTAATTTTGCTGTTATGAATCATACATCTGTGTCTTCTGATGGTCTTAGGCGACCCCTGTGAAAGGGTCGTTCAGAGACCCACAGGTTGAGAGCCGCTGGACTGATGCAACAAAGAACGGAGGAGAGACCAGGGGCCATTTGCACTGTTCACTACTGTCACCTCTGCTTAACTTATTCTACCTCATCAACACCATCAACTCTCAGCAGCGCACAAACAGCACCAACGTAAACCACAGCTGATGACCCAGCTACCGTATGAGTGATTAGTGGTTACCGTTACCGTTATAAATTAATGAACAACAACAAAGCCCCCCCCACCCCGTTCAAACAGTTTCTCCTTTGAAAGAGAATGCCAACACCAATGCTTTTATCAAAAGTAAAATCCCGTGAATGACATTTTCCATGATAATGACGCCATCACCAAAGTCACGTTCTTTGGAACATAAAGGTCAAAGAATCTCTCCTTGCTCTGGAAACCTGCTGTGCTAATCAGAGTCCTCCATGTCCACTCGCTCGCTCCACTCGGCCAAGTGCAGCACAATGGGAAGCAGTGTTATTTTTAAGCCTTACCTTCAGATAGGATCCATAATATTTGGTTACATATGGACTGTCGCACTGACTCAGCACTGTGATTTCTTGTTGAATGTCCTCTATTTCATCTTCAGCTTCTTCCAGATCAATGATTTTTATGGCAACCACTTTCTGAGTCCGATTGTCAATGCCTTTGAACACTTCACCAAAAGAGCCCTTTCCAATTTTCTCCAGCTTGGTAAAAAGCTCTTCTGGGTCTGCTTTCAGGTTCTGCAGGAGAAGAGGGAGGAGACATTAGAATTCCCAGAGCCACAGCTGGTTCCTCTTCCTACCTAGAATGGAGCTCCTTGACAAGGGCCTTGGAGGGACTGTTCTGCTCTCTATGACAAGGACATGGTGCTGTGACTACATTTTTCAGGGTCAGGGATCTCAAAGTCCTACGTCTTATCTACATGTGTAAGTTAAACAAATAGCAAATGTAGGACGAGAACAATGCCAACTTGTATAATGAAACAAAATGCAAAGTGTATATTGAAATGCATTAGAATAGATTATTTAGCTATTTTTAAGACTTGCTCTTGGGCAGGCAACGTATCAGTGATAAAAGGCCTGCCTCGTAGGGGTGGGTCCCTGGGTTCCGTAGGCAAGGGACGAAAGGGGTGAGAAGTTGGTTTGCTCCCAGCAAAAATTCTCCTTTTTTCTCAACCCATCTCCACCATATCCTAACTCTAGATGGACATTTGCTAAAATATAGGTGAATCAGCTCTCACCTAAGAGGGAAGGGGAAGAAAATCCACAACCTAATTATAACAGACCGTTTCAACCCCCAATAAATACAATCATTTTCTTTGCCAGAACAATAACCAGATCCCATTGCCAACAAATGCAGTTAGCGTGAAAAAACTTTAACAGCGCTTAAGCATGAATCAGCCTGAAGGTGCGGCGACACAGCAGCCATATCCAAGGACAGTGCGGACACGGGTCCCAAAACCCACACAGCCCTGACCCAGGGTTCCCAGCAGGGACAATCACATCCAGACATAGTCTGAGGGCATGTCTCAGCAGGGGCAGGAGACATCTCAGAGCCAGTACCTGCCCAGAGCAAAGTGCCAGTGGCACCGGAAACCTGCAGCTCCCAAGGCTGTTAGAAGCCCCAAAGCCAGTCTGGTAAACACATTTCCCACAGAAAGAAGAGGGTGCCCGGATATCTTTCAAAGCCTATTATCAATGCTTCAAAGACACTGCACGACTGGGGGGTTAAGGGGGGGGCACAGGAAAGAGAGCAAGGGGGGGCAGAGGAAGGGGACACAGAATGAGAAGTAAAGGTTATCTGTGAGCAGTAACAAAGTAGGTCAAAGGCCCAAGACATGCCAACACCAGCAGCACGGTGACAATGACCTTGCTGTCACTGGGTGCCAGCCACTCACATGCTTTCAGAGTTGAAGTTCCAAGTACCTGGCTTACAATGGTCTAACTTGGGAGCCTTGCTGTGCTCACTGTAAGACAAGAACCAGGCACTAACCAGGTCCCCGTTCTCACACGAAGGTAGAAGGTACCCAGAGTCACACACAGCTAAAATAAGTCCACACGCTGGGCATGGTACACACAGTGTGAAATGTGCCAGTTACCACAAAAAGAATATGGGGAGAAGGGCTGTCTCTTGGCACTGTGCACAATGCTTAAGAAACTTCTAGGATTGCAAAGACTGCAGTTTTGGCCGTGACCTCCTTGTTCACAGAAAGCTAAACACATTCCCACTAAATCCAAGGAGAGAAAGCCCATTCACCTCCATTTGCACTTCAAACACAGCACTGTCCGGGCAGCCCAGACCTGGACAGCTGCTGTTTCCAGCCGTGGAACCAGCAGCAATGTCTTTCAGACACCCAGAAGTTTTTGCAAGACCCTTCATTTGCCAAGACAGCCTGGGAAAGCTCTAGAGTTGAGGGTAATCTCCTGAAGTAGGGGCTGTTTGGGAAGCTGGTGGGTAACTCTAAAACTCCCTTTATTTTAAACGTGCCAGGTTTACTAGGTAAGCACTCTTCAAAGCCATTTTCTGGAATATCCCCAATGAATGCTAAAGAGTGTGAGGGGGTGGCATCTTGCATCCCTCTCGCATCACATGAGCAGCCATGAGTAAAGACCCAGGTGAGGGACACCCATGCCCCTCCTTTAGTAGAATTCCCCCGACAGGGCAGCCCCTGCAGTCTAACCCTCTTACCTCCTTCCCTCCAGGGTGAAGTGGAGAGGCCTTCCTTTTCTTCAAGGCTAACGCTAATCTAGGGACTTTTGAGTCCATCCTTGTCTCTCTGCGAAGCTTCACCAGCACCCTTTGGGCAGCTCTCCTCCCACCCATCCCTGTCTGCTGGCTCCCTGCCCTGGGCAGCACGCTCAGGTTCCTCCCACTTAGGACAGGCAAGAGCCCTCCAGTGGCCTCAACAGGCCCGTCCTCCCACGCTGCACAAGCTCCTCGGCTGTCCTCGGCGCCTGCCTGCCCCATCCACAGCAGTCTGGCGGGGCGACGCTGGTCACCAGTGATGCAGCCTTCCTTGGAGCTCCATCAGCCACACCACCCTCTGCCCCCTTATAACTTGGCCTCCACAGCTTGCCTCAGCTCTTCTTCCAACCCCTGGTGCCAAAGGGATCTTCACACTGGCCCTCAATCCAGCAAACCACTCAGATCCCAACCCAGGCCTTTCTCTTCCTCTGGCCCTTCTCCCAGGGAAGCCAGCCAGTTCTGGGTCCAGGATGTGGGTTGGTGTCTTCCCCCACCCGGCTGAACCATTAAACCCAGTGAGGGTTGGGGAGTTGCATACAATCCACACTTTTTAAGCATTCCAGAAGATACTGAGGACTGCTCTCCACTGCCCTGCATAAGCCAACACCACACGGTCAGCTCCCACTCTGCTTCCGGTCTGAACGCCAGGACACTTCACTTTCTAGGTGTAATATCTCCCCAGACACACTGACCCTCCTCTTCTGCACTGTCTCATGTTCTAGACTAACTAAGCCGAGGAAGTTTCGGGGCCATGCTCACTCACTCACTTCTGTGTCCCTAAGTCACAACACCAAGAGCGGCATGAAACTGATAATCAATGGTCCCCGAGAGCAAGAAAACCTGGTTTACATAGACATCAACAAGACCCACATTAGAAGTCACACAGAATAATCTGTCTCTGAAGACTGTCCCAAAGGACACCTTTGAGAGCTTGAATAGAGATAATACTAACTTGAGAGCTTTAAAAGAGAATACTAACTTAAAATCAAAGCCCTTCCAATACCAAAGAGGCCAGTGAAGGACACTGTTACTAGCTACCTGCCTACGAATCCCACCTGCCCTTGTGCACACTGCCCTTGTGCACACTGCCCTTGTGCACACTGCTTTGGCAGTCCTCTCAGCCCGTGATGAGACCCATCTGGCCAGCTCCTTCCTGGACCCCAACTGAAGCCCTGGCATATGCATGAGGTCATTCCCGACCCAAGGCCAGCAGAACTGCCCAGCACCCACAGAATCAGACACTGGGAGTTGCCTGGCTTGAGCTGTCTGTCACTCCATGAGACAGCTAATACAAAGAGACACTGGAAGCCATCAGCCGTCTCCCACTCCCAGTCTCAAAAACAATCTGTGGCAGACCTTCCTGCCCTGCCCCTGGTGGCTGCGATGAGGGTATCTCAGTTCATAGCCCCCTGAAGACAGGAGATGGAGCCTGATGCAGCCTGGGTAAAGGGCCAGCCGGAAAGGAGCATACTGTGCACCTACCTGCCCCAGGCCCACAGCCCCATGCATCTGTGTCTGTTGCTCTAGCAAACATTAAGAGGACTGTTACCACAGAACCTGGGCCTGCTTTAAAGGACCACACAGCTCTTCACCGAGGCCTCCTGAACACCTCCATCAACACAAAGGAACCTGTTCCACCCACTGGGGCAGGTGCAGGAGGATAGATGCCCAGCCACCTACAACGCTCCAGCTGACCACAGCCACAGGCCGTAGAGTATACATGTGTGTGTACCCACACACACCCACACACACACACACGAGAGAGAGAGAGAGAGAGAGAGAGAGAGAGAGAGAGAGAGGATGTGGTGGTTTAAATAAGCACAGTCTCCATAGGCTAGCATATGTATTAACAGTTGGTGGAACTGTTTAGGAAGGGTCAGGAGGTGTGGCTTTGTTGGAGGAGGTGTGTCACTGGGGGTGGGCGGGCAGGCTTAAGGTTTCAAAGACTCCTGCCATTCTCTTTGATCCCTCAGCTGTTCCTGCCATCATAGACTTACTTTAATGTCCTGGAACTGTGAAACCAAATTAACACTTGTATAAGTTTCTTTGATCATGATGTTTTATCACGGCAACAGAAAAGTTAACTAATACAGAGGGGCACACTAAACACAACTGTTAAAGTCACCAAGTTCTGGGATGACTTGCACAAAATGGTGCTAGGTGAGGAAACGCATCTCAGAACCCTGGGGGAGGGGTTTGCTATGTGGACAGGGGTGTGGCTGTAATATACCCCCCCTTTTTTTCACCTGTTCTAGGCTGGTTTGGAAAGCAGCTGTTTCCCCTTTCCTGCTGTGTGTCCAATATGACACCTGACATCGGCTCAAATATGCCCCTGGCAAGAGAGAGCAGAACTTCACAGAGAGCCTGTTCCCACAAGGCCAAGGCCCTGTACCTGGGGAATTCTTATATAAGCTCATTGCCACATGGTTGGTGACATCCACGGACAGAAAATGAGCAATGCTAAGCTAAGCCGTCTAAAAAGAAAAGCTGAATATTTTACTGGCAGAGTTTGTTCTCGGGGGAAGATACATGGGGGAAGATACATGGGGGGGGCACCACAAGAAAATGCCCTCAGCCAACCACCCTGAGAAGTCACAGTCTCAAACTAGAAAACTTGCAGCTTCCCCGTGTCCCTGAAGGGAAGCAGAACTTGTCTCTAGGAGCCCGGTGGCCCGGGGGCAGGAGTGGGGGCAGGAGGTTCAACCTCCTCTGACAGAGGAAGGTCAAGAGATAGACACACGGAACAGACAGACACCTCCAGAACCAAGACTGGGGGAGAGGACAGAGCTGGCTGCTGTGCCCGTGGCACCCAAGGCTCATCCCTCATCTGCATGGATGCAGCAGGGGGTCCCCATTCCATGAGACATGAAGAACAAATACTCTGAAAGGCAGTGTGAGCCCCACAGCACCGAGCCCTGCTTCAGACCCTCACGGGCACTCCACAGCTGTGGGCCTTGTCTCTTTCTGTCAGAAGGGCTGACGGTAGAAACAGTAG